AATCGCAGTACTATTGAGGGCGTATAGGGAGTCAGCAATTGTTGCAAGTCAATTTGTGATATCTTCCGATTCTAGCACCAAGCAACCGACTCTGGAAAGATGACAAGCTTTTTCGACCTGCGCGGGATTCGAGCCGGCAAGAACATGATCCAATGGGCATAGCCAACTGTTAAGTTGGAGCATAATAAAGGTAACGTTTCTGGCGTATCAATTCAAGCAGTACAAGTAGAAGAAATCAGTACCATTTTAAAGGCGTTTTTTCGCGTCTGAAAAACCTAATTGCAATTTTCTTTAAATTATAGTTGTACTCATATATGATGCTTAGAAGTTTGAAAATTCACACGGCAGAAAACGGCATTTCGACAGCGCTATTTACCGGTTCACAGACAGAAAGAAACGTCAAAACGAAAACTCTTCAGATTCGTTGTTCTAATCGAACCTTGTTCCAATCAACCGTTCCTGCTGGGCGGTATGCTGAATGTTGGGAGGGGCATGGCGTCCCCCCCCCCCCGACGTCGAACGACTAGCTTCACTCAGTCCGATACGGTAGCGGCAGTAATGACGCAAGTGATGCAGCTGGTCCAGCATCTCCGCCAAAAAGGCTGATCGCTTATCTCTCGCAGGTCTCTCCACGGCTTAGTCCTGGGGTAAGCATCAAATTGAGGCGTTTTGAGGATCGAGGTGAATTAGTCCGAACTTCCGCATACGGCGCCAGCAGAAACGCTCAGAGGGCTGGTTTGCTTACTTCTAATCAACCCTGCCTCTTTCGCGCAAATTAAGGGTATAATCTTGCCTTGCAAATTGAGAACAGTGAATACACCGAGGACCAGCCCAATACCTTTTTGATTTCTAAATCCCGTGTTAGATTTAGAATCCAAATCCATCTACGATATATGCTACAACCCAATTTGATGCGTCGACGATAAAAATGTTATTACAATCCATGTCAGGTGAGCTCCCTAAAACCCACCGATGCATTTGAGAAAAACGCGCCACTAGAGCCGACGGAGCCGTAGCTACAAAAGATAATCTACAGCTCACATTTCGATGATGCGACAGAAAAACTCAAAAATGTGGCCCTTCCCGTAAAATCTCAACCTCATCGGGTACCGTTTCCTCTTCCCTTCTTCGGGGTTTCCTGAGGAGCAGAAATCAAGGCAAGAGAAGTACAGTGCCACATATGGTGCTAGTAGCGGCAACCAATAAGTTGAAAAATCAATAAATCCGAAAAAGGTACGATAAATTGAAGTATAACTAGTAAGATGGCAGAACTTTCAGGGACCTGACCACCTGGACATTAAATGTATTTGGTTGTAGGAAAAAGATGGAGATGTTTTCGAATTTCTTTTCAGAATTTTCTAGAAACTTCCTCGACTTCAATAGATAGGAAAATTTAAAGGGGTATAGGTAAAGTGCAAATATGAAACTACTTGAATTTTCAGCCTTTACGATACAAATGGAAATGAACAAATTCCAGTGCCGCAAAATTCTACTACAGCCCGATAGATAGTGGTCCACATTTCTGGGATTTACGCTGCCTTTCTTTTCTTTTCTAAGCAATCCACAGACTAGCGGCACACCCCCATTCAAAAACCCGACAAATCCTGCTGACGCCTTAGGCTGCGCTATTCCTCTGCCAAATTCCCACGCACCCAAGGACTATACCAATCCGCTCACAGCGATAGACTTCTCCTGCTGTTCAAGTGAGGAGCGCCGTCGAATAGACGAGTGGTCGCCGCTAATGGAATTGTCGGCTCCTTTGGCACTCACGTTTTAACGGCTGATGTCGGGGAATTGCGCCCAATGGGGCCTCTTTACAACGACGCATAGACGCCACGATGCTTCACACGCTTTCGGCGAGACAAGTGCCCCCACTTCCTTTTCACTGAATAGAAGAGTTCCACTCACCAAATCGGCAATGTTGACCGCTTCCAGCATGTAGGTTAAAGAATCGTCGTCAGAAAAGCCGTGCTGCTTCACCTAGAAAACAACGTAGCACTTACGATCTGGCCGCACGCTATAAAAAGTAAGGAACTAGCAGCTACATAAGGCATCGACTGCGAATTAGCAGCTGGCGACAACATGCTTTCAAGTCGGATCGCGCTAGAAAAGACCGCGTGAGATGGAGTGATCCAATATCGGACCACAACTGGCTTACTGATCCAATTTCACGCGAATGCGCAAATTTACATTGAATTTCTCATAAGACTTAATTTAATATGTCAGTGGCTTTACAAATATGGATCAGTCAATATGTTTTCAGTCATGAGCTCAGAAATGAGTCATGTGGGACAGCGTGATCCAATAACGAATCACGGCGAGCGCGCTTGGAAAACCACGGCAAACTCGTCGCGACTCGGCCCAGAAAGCAATGACGCGCGTGCTGTGGTCTATAAACCAAACAAAAACTGAGGTGTGAGCACTGAATTACGATGCTGAGACTTAAATCTGGAAAAGCCAATATTGAGAAATCAAAACCAACATATTCGTAGTCTCCGATGAGCGCCAATTCGACATATTTCGTCTGCTTTGATAGATCGCGAGCGCGCCGTCGATGATGTTCCCGCGACATCTGAAAACCATATCAATACAATATCACCGCAATAGCTATCATCACCTTCCAGTGGGTCCTCTGGTCAATATTGACGACCACCCCCCCCTCCAGTTTCCCTCATATTTTGGTCATATCCTCCTTTTATCGCTTCTCGGCGACTCACTTTACCAATTTTAGATCTTCTATGCCTTTACCATTCACTAACAATATACAAACGATTTTTGACTGCTGAACAACAGTCTGAGTCCCCAAACTTCATTTCAAAAAGCTTCAAAAGACTAATTTCAGAAGTTTTCGGATGGTCTATTGCTTAAAATGGAAATGTGTGGCACAGGGTAGGCCAATAACCGAGGAAATATGGTTAAGTACAACCTCAATCTCGACTGACAGCTCTTCCCTCAACGCTACTCGCGCCTTGATGGAGCTCCACAAATAACCCTCATCTCCTATTTTTATCACTGTTCCTCGCCTTCATGAGACTTAACTAGAGGACCTTACCCAAAAATAAGCAGTCAGGAATCGGTGCATAGCAGTGCAGGATTTGTAAAAGTCACGATTTGAATATTCAAATTCCCGAACATTACTTCTGACCATCCACTTACCTCGTCACGAAGAGTTACATAGGTTAACCTTGGCGACAAATCCTTGACGTGCCCTCAACCTCCCTGCGCACACAGACCTCGCCGAAGAAGTCGCTGCAGGCCGGCACTCGATGACAAAGGTACACAAACTTAGCAATTATTGCACTTCAAGAGCCCGGGAGTCATGGACAAAGGGTACACGAACGGAGCAATTGGCTTCCAGGGCGCCTACTCTGCTGCTTTGTGGAGGAATGCGGTGTGACTAGTGCACCCCAAGTTTGAACCTTCTACCGCGGGCAAAAGGTAGTCATTCATCAAGCTAACTGTGGGAACAAAGCCCTTAAGAGGCACATAACCCAGGCAGAGGTCATGTGAACGCTTCTCTTCGGTCTGTAGTATAGACCCCTAGAGGACAATCACAAATGTGGCGTTCCCGTGCACGGAAACCAACCGACAAGAGCGCTTGGGCCTTGCAAAGTAAGCTGCTGAAGCTGCAGATTTTTTTTCTCTTCATCAGGCTGTTGTCTGGCGCTCTCTCGCCCCATACTCTCCTTCTCCGCGCCTAGTCTCTCATTCCCTCAGCACAACCGATTACGAAATGAGTGAGCTCCGATCCTTAGCGCTTTTAGCGCTGTTCCTTTTTATTTATGCTGGCCATTTTCGCACCAATAAATTTCGATTTTCCGGTCACACCTCGAAGCAGAGCCAACAGCAATGTGATTCCTGGCGGTTTTGCCTTTAGAACCGAAACCCCTCTGCCCTCACCTCTGCACTCCCACCGGCTGTATCCGTGAACAGATTACTATTATGGTAAAACTGACGAGCATCCATTCGCAACGAATTGTTCATGCCAAATTCAGTGTATCATCGCCCTCAGGAATGTGCACACGCATGCATCAATAGCCACAGAATTATAAATTTCTCGCCGCTAATGAATTACCCGCCGCGACAAATCCGCACTTCCACTCCGAGTTATGCGATGAGCAGATGGGTGTAGATGGTTGTGCTCGTGGTCAGATAACTGCAGTAAACATCCGCCCGCTGCGCCTGCCTGGGGATCCCATGGCGCGACTGTTCACAGCTACAGATGGTCCTTTGATCTCAGCGACAAATATGTAAACAAACAATAGATCGTAATAACTTCGTATAGCGCCGCCCGTCAACGCTCTTCAGTAGTCCGCCCCCACACACCCGCAAATCGTTTAAGCCAGTGATCTCCAACGAATCATTGGCTGCCAGGGGTAACCCAGCCGTACGTTGGACAAATTTCAAAAATTTTGACGACCCGCCCCCTTTTCTTCCGGAGAGCGAGCCCCCTAACAGATGCTTGCCTATCAGTATATGATTTCCGAAGCCCAGTTGACAAGCCCCAACTCCATCATTTCCTCCAAAAGCCACCGGCGGAGATGGGGAGCGGTACATATTTCAACAACAAATTTTTTTCTTTACCACCGCCTAAAGACGTGCACATTACGACTACTTTCCGTGGTGTGCGATTGACGCTGCCTCCACCTTGGCCGAATACGACCTCTCTTTTCCCGGCCGAATATGACCCCTCGTTGCGGACTTTTGGGTCCAACGGACGCGTTTTTGACCCTGCATTGCTGATAACCTGTTTTCATTTCCTCTCTCATTTTTGTTGGCGCTACGGATAGGCACTCAATACGCACCGCGGCCTCATAGAAATTTTGGCCGTCCGAACCACACGTTGAAAAATTCTTCATTTTAGCATTTAAATGGTTCCTGGTGTTTACAAAACAAGCAGAAGAATCCGAAAAAAAAACACAGCACTTACCCTCTTACGGATGGTGTGCTCTATAGGCGCCATAGAAGTTCCACATTTCGCTTCTTGGGTCCAGTGAGTCTTATAGAGGATATGTGGATGCCTTCTCGACCTTCGATCCACATTCCAACTGCGCCCCAAACACCATATTGTGGACCACTTTTGAAAGGCAGATAATACCCCTAAAAGATTACCATGAAAGAATCTATGCCTTTAGAAACACGGAACGTACTCAGGAGCAATTGCTGCGGTTTGTGAACAAAACTGTCGCCTTCAGACGGGGCATTCCGAAAAACCCGCCACCCTTCTTCAGCCGAACAGTCTGTGGATTTCGTCTACAAGAAGGGGATGATTATTTTACTGCAAGTGCGCACCGCTGAAAATCAGAGTTGCGGACACAAAAATCGCGGATACGCCGTCGCCTATTTTTCAGGAAGATTACATGCGCAATACTCGAAACGCCATGAACTATTCCCCCTCCCCCACCTTTTCCACCAAAAATATTCGATCGTAATACGTTCAGCCAAATTTTGGAACTGTTACATGACATGGACAGGGAAGGGGGCGATGAGGAGCGTCTTACATAGCAATAGGATTTTCACTTTGACCTCTCCATCGTCCCACACCCTCTCCACGACATTGCGTGAGTCAAACAGTAAAATGTTCAAAGCAATTATGAGAATGCATGGCGCATCTTAAAAAGGTTCTCATTAGCGCCGAATTGTTTCTATCCTGTTGAATCCCACAGTTTATACGAAATGAAAAGATCATACTTGAGTGTGCTTTTCGCTACATGGAAAATTAAACAAAATACGGAAACAGTAAATTAACCCAATTAGGAAGAAACGTACCAGCCTTTTTCAAGGCACCCCAAACCCTCTCTAACGCATCAACTAGCCTCTTCACTCGTGGCCCCCAACACGATCGAATCGCCCCCTTGATATAATTTTTTGAGGGGGACTAAAGAATCGCTTAGATTATTCGCTGAACACAATTTGTCACCGCGGAAGAATAGCCCTGTGATCTAGCCGCTTCAGTCACGGATATCCATCCATAGCAACCACCCCGCAAAACATCTCTTACTAACCAATCAAGGCCATTGTGGTAATTTTTAAACCCATAAACAACAGCCACATAAACGAAAACGTGTTTTGGAGAGGTGCTGACTTGAATACTCAACCAACTCAAAAAAAAACAAGTACCTCAAACACAGCCACAGCCCCAAAAATAGGTTGTATGCGTCGCCCACAGCCATCTCTGATATGAAGAAAAATTATCATTTGGCGACATTGTGCTAGTAAAAAATAAACGATGAAGCTTTCGGATTGTTAAATCAGGTTCCCTTTTGAGGCGCGCACGCATTTCTACTTCCATTCAGAACTGCGCGGGCATTTGAATCTGACTTGGCGCAAAGTTTCGTGATTTCCTCCCTGTGTCTTTATTTCATCAACATCAGCCCTCTGCCGGGCCTTGAAGATTGACGAAATAGCAATGGCTCTAAGGAACAACCGAAGCTTACCATCATTTTCTTGTAATAATTTTTATTCACATGATGCTTATTTATTAGTTTAGCGCTCATGTCGTTGACATGAAGTGAGTGAGCCACCTACAGAACTTGGGCTAGCCTTAGGTAGGGGACAAGATGTTAGAGGAAAAGGTGAGCAACCTTTGTTCTCCCTGGTGTTTCTCCCCTCTCTTGGGTTTGTGGTTAGTCTTAGTGTCACCTACAGCGGTTTCTAAATCTCCTCCTTTGAATGCCAACCTCCCCTACGGACACGAGCGCCTATTATTTTGTTGTTCTAGGCGAGATTAACCCCAGGATTTGACCCCCGGATCGTGCGCATGGTAGATGACGCCACCTGTCGCTACAATACCTTCTCTTGATTGAAACGAACCGACGGCGTACCTCAAACCGTTGCAGGACGATAGCGCGACGAAGGACGACGAGTCACCAGCCACCGTACCCTGGTAGTAGCAGTTCTCGATACGCTGCGAAAATCCATGCTCTCCGCTCGAATCCAGCTGGAATTAATAATTCTTCGTCGATAGAAACCTGTCAGTTCTTGGCGGAGATTCACAGTTCAAAGAACTTGTGCCAGGGGAATATTCAAGAACGTATTAAACATCGAGGAAGACCCGCTCGTTTGACCAGGCCCTCAAGCGGTGGCCGTTGTGCGCCATGCGAAACTAGTCTCTAATACATAGTATAAACAGTTGCATGTGGTATTTCACCTACTTATTGTTCCAAGAAGGCTATATAGTAAAAAGAAAAAAATTGAAATTATGAAAAGTCAAGTGCTTCCTAAAATGACCCATCCATACACAATTAGATTTGAACAAAAGCCATAAAATATAAAAATAAAAATACAAAAATGAGAGATTAAAAAATTATAGAGAAATTATAAAAACTATGGAATCATCGCTCAAATTCGCGCTCGACTAAGTCCCATTGGGATAAAGCTGATTGTTAAATTATGTCCAAGTGCAAAGTAATCGATACTTTCAAGCGATGCTTCAGCTTTGATGCTTCAAAATAAAATAAAGGAAATATGACATTGAGAAAAAGGAAATAGATTTTCACTTATAAAATCCCAGCTAGAAGAACACATACCTTACGGAAGCTGGTTCGATTGAGAAATATTAAATTATTTCGTTCCAAAACTAATTTTATACGGCCAACAGCATTGCTTCGTATCACAATCGTCACATGTTGATAATGTTCGGCAGCTTTTAAAAAGTAATTTCGAGTATCTGAAAGTATGGAGATGTGAATAGATAAATAATAAGTAAATAAATAAATAAATAAACTAGATGGAGAACGAAAAAAGGAAGAAATGAAATTAAGACGTACCAATCCCTATTCGCTCATTTTTATCGCGTATTTGAAATGGATGAACCACTTCGTAGTCGCCATCGGGAATGCTTGCGATAAATGCTTTGTTCGTTGAGGATTGACGAAAATCCACTGAAAATAACGTCGATTCAGCACAATAGTGATTTGAGCTGAAGCTCCAATGGATTTTGGACAAAATAAGCTGTAGCAACTAGAAAAAATGTAATGTTCACCCTCAAATTTCTGGATCTAATATTCCCTAGTCGAAAAATAAACAAACAGATTTTTGCTCAATTTTTAGGTAATTTTACAACCATGCAGTCCATATAAGCCAACCGACCACATGAAGGCTATGGCTCAATGAGACTTCTTTTAACTTTAATAGTCGAAATTCGTTGAGTCATATGATTTAATTTTCAGGAATTTATTTGACAGCGATTTTCTTCTAAGCCATGTGAAGATTTACTTATAATTAATGCATAGAATACTCAACAGGTTTATGGCGTTCCCACGCTTCTGCAAAACCTCGTGCATAGTCCGATGTTTTAACAAGAGTTCTGCCTTATCCCATCTCCTTGTTCCCCTGCACCCTTTTCTTTAACTGTGCTCAAGGCTGAACCACTTTAACCATTTGTTTTCGAATTGATGGTTCCAGAAAGAACAAGGCTCTTAGAAAAATATCCCACCAACGAAACTAACAATAAGCAGCAGCAGATTCACGGCTTTGATCCCTACTGGCAGGTCATTCAAGAAAGCAGATATCTTTACTCAATATTCATGCTTCTGACGTTTGAAATAAGTTCCTTGGGAGGTGATTAATCCCGAATTTTTAGCTCGAATACACCACGTTAACCCTCATCACGTTAGCAACAACGTAGAAAGTCGCGATGCGGTGGCGCATTCCCAAACAGAACGACTGGTTGTTGAGTAGGGCTTTTTTCAATATGTGAAGATAACTACTACTTATTATAGCAACTACTTCAACTGCAGCACTTCTTCGCCTCACTCGGCCCCCTCCAAATATCCCTTCGCCAGTGAACTGGACTGGACTGATGCTCATGGATTTCCTCAGCGGAACTTCAGTGGCCCATCGGAACCCATCAGATAAGCAACATGACTCATATGTGATTGAGAAATCGCGGAGGAACTTCTCTTCTAAACCCGAGTAAAACTCTGACTAATCTGGGATGAAGGAGAGAGAGATCCGAACCAGCGACCAGTGCAGAAAACTAAAGAAGGCTTGAAAGGCATTAGAGAAAAGCGAAGATAAAGTCCACAATTTTAAGAAAACTGAAAATGGACTCTTAGCAAACGAATCTCGGGTATATTCCCTTCGTTTTTTTGCTTTTCACTTTCGAGACTTTTTCTCTGGCAATTAGCCAGAGCTGAGCGGAAAAGGTAAAGTCCTACTAAGAAGGGACAATCGAAACGTGCCGTTTCAAGCAAACGGTTTCGGGTATTGTTCTCCTTCGTTTTTCCTTTTGCCTTTCACTTCGAGCACTTTTTCTCTGGCAATTAGCCACCATTCTTGACCACCTCGAGAATGGGAACTTTTTCAGCACCATTGTGTGGCGAAGGCACGCGCTGAGCGTAATAAGAGGTCATGCGAAATTATCATAAAAAGAAAAATTGCGATGAACGGTAACCGAAAAACCTACGTGCTATATGGATATAGGTTATGCGAATAAAAGAGGAAAAAGATCAGATTATTCCACTCCAAGTCCCTTTCCGAAATCTCGAAAGTGATTAACCTAATTAGGAACACATGTCGTATGTCGACATGGCTGTAAATGTCTCAGAACCCCATTAAACTAGATCCTGAGGTCAAAATCGGGTCTAAGCAAGAGCTCGGTAAAGACAGAGGCAAAGCAGCTAAGGCGATTAAAAGCAGCCATTGCCCCTTTCCATTTCGCCTTTCCTTCTTGGTGAGATGAGATTGGAATGTGTCTGCGGTTCCAAGGATAAAGATCAAGATAAAGGCTGACAACACTAAGGAAAGCAGCTTTGATAACACTTCCATTCAAAGAAGTTCATTGGTAAGGACCGGTTGAATCAGACTGGAATGGCGCGTAGAAGCGATACTGAGCCAAGAGCCCGACATTTTTGCCTAGGCCCAGAGGGAAAATAGTATCCACCCAATGTGGAGCTCCTTACCCAACCCTATTCCCAGAGAGAGGATAGAATGGGGGAAGGAGCTCCACAGTGGGTGGACCACAAATGCTGCAAAAAATGGAAAGATAAGTGCTACCAATGTTTTTATGCTTATCGCTAGAGATATCCTCAGGCTTACCTTGATCCTTACGGCTGGAGCGCCCCCTCTTAACTCCATTTTTACCTTCCGTCTTTTCTTCCCATCAATAATTAATTATCCGCTAACAGTCCGTTAATAATTATATATCTTGCTTTTGGTGTCCGAAAAGTGTAACTATATCCTAGGAACTTCGAAAAAGCCGAATAAATCAAACGAAACGACCCCTCGGTCAAGCGAAATTTACGATTAAATAGGCCGGTGACATCTGAGGTATTTTGTCAATAACATAAAATTGAAAATTCCTGATAAGATGGTCCCTTGACTCAAATAGATTATTTAAAATCAACCTTGTTAAAAGCTCTAAGGACTTAAAAGATGAACAATTTTGGGTTATCAAGAACGTTCTCTGAGCAACATCGAAGGCAATCAGCACTTCTTCCACGCTATTTCGAAACATTTGAGTACATTAGGTTTCAGCGCCGAAATTCGTTTAAGCAAACGCCTTTGATCAAAAAAGTTAGCCCAATGAGGCAACGTTTTCCAGTTGTCTGGGGTAGCATTTAGCAGGTGCGGTTTATAACCCGAATTCTACTCGGGTAGGGGAGCAAAGCCGTCCTGATTAAATCGCTTTCCGATACAAACTTACGTAGAGAGGTGAAAACATTGAGCCGTACATCCCTTGACTTTTACACGTTACCAGCTACCTTCGAAGTCTTCCCTGAACAGAATCGATTTCGTGTAAAATTCCGCGGAACTTTTCAGAGCTGCGTTGATCTGACACTTTTCGAAGCAAACTTTATGCTGCAATTCTTCGAGCTCTACAGGAAAAGGAGCAGTCGCGACCATAAGGCCGCTGAAAAACATTGCGAATCGCTAGTAGCGGAGCGCTCGATCCGCAAAGTCTGATGTCGGCCTGAGAGTAAAGTAGTCGGTGTTGATCAATCATGTTCCGAAATGCGCCACGCATTCTACTCCCATTCTGAATCGTAGTGGCAGTTTG